CAGACAAGGCCCACAGCATTGTGGGAAATACACAGATTTGGCAGGAAGCAAGCTAGAGACTTGAGTAAAGGTAGATAGTTCAGTGTAACAAAAACCTATTGTGGTTTTTACTTTCAGTCCAATAGGAGTAAAGACTCACTGAGGTTTGGTAAGCGACTCTAGCTGAGAAGAGATGGATAAATGTGACTCCTCTGAAGTGCAAAGTCATTTATCTGAGAGAAGAGAATGGTTAGAACTGGGAATATTTGTTGCCCAGGGTGAAGAAAGATATAAGGAGAGTATGCTCTCCCAAGAGGTGGATCTTATGGATCTGAAGGAGTTTTTCCTTCTCCATCTTTATATTCCCACCCATCCTTTTCAACCCTATTACCAGTCTCTCCAGAAAGAAGTCCAGCTGTCTTGTGTTGAAGATCTGCTTTGCAGTGCAAAAGGTAGAAGACAGTTGATTTATTCTCTCTTCCTTTAGTAGGTGTAGCAGAGGAGCCTATATAGGAGGTTGGAAGGATGCCCTCATTTTCCATCGTCACATAAAGTCATGTTTCAAATGGATGATAAACAGAGGCAGGAACTAATCTTTAATTAAGGATGAGGTGGCCAACACCTTTAGGGTCACCACACTGTTAAACTCCCACAGGAAGAACTCATGTGAATGGGTTAGGGTGTCAAGATGATCTTCTCTACAGCCTTTCCTGCAATCCTTTGTCATTTACCTTGTTTTTCTCTTGTTGAAAACCACACAGTTCCAGGCCAGCACTCTGGTACAGGGGGTTAAGCTGCCACCTGCCATCTTGGCATTCCATATGAATGTCAGTTCTAGACCCAACTGCTCCATCTCTACTGGGACCATTTGAGGCATGAATAAACCAATGCGTGGAATCTGTCTCCCCCTCTCTCTAACTGATTGTGAAATAAACAGGGACCAAGGCTGTGGCACAGTGGATAAAGCCACCACCTTCAAGCACTGGATCTCATGTGGGCACCAATATTTCATATGGGCACTGGCTTGAGTCCTGACTACCGCACTTCTAATTTAACTCCCTGCTGATATGTCTGGAAGAGCAGTGAAAGATGGTCCAGGTGCTTGGGCCCCTGCATCCATGGAGACATGGAAGAAGCTCCTGGTTCCTGGCTTCAGACCAGCCCAGCTCTGGCTTTTTCAGCCATTTGGGGAGTGAACCAGCAAATGAAAGATCTTTCTCTGTCTTTCCATATTTATCTCTGTAATTCTGCCTTTCAAAGAAATAAATCTGGTTGGTTTTTTTTTTTTAAATAATCAAATCTAGAAAGAAAAAGAGAGGAAGGAAGAAAGTTCAGAAGAGGAAGTCACACGATTCACATTCTGCCTGCTCCTTCCCATTCTTCCCAGAAGGGGTGCCCACGTTTGGGCCCCCAGCCTCCTGACCGATCCTCGCCATCAGGAACCTACTCCTTTCTGACAGTGTTTACAGATTGGTGGGTAGGAACGAGAGATCATGTACAGGAGCTGGAGCTCAGACTCCTCAGGCATGTCCATGTCCCCAAGCCTTTATTCTGCTGCCTCATGACCAGGATCCCCTCTACCAAGCCTTTGTACACAAGAGGTCACTAACTTCAGGGGTGGAGTGTGGATGTGGGAAGATGTTGTGTCCTTTGGGGGTTATTGAAAAGGCCCAGCCATTGCAATCAAGTGAACTTAGGTTTGAATCTTAAGTGCTATTTACTCGTGCGACTAGTAATCCCCATTCATTCCTTACTTAAAATGGAGGATAATGCCCACCTAGTAAGATGCTTGGATTAGACCTAAGTAATGTAAAGAAGAAGGAGGAGGAAAAGATTCTCCCAAGTGTTAGCAATTATGGACTATTAATGCTGATCAGTACAGAAAGCAGAAGTTCCTGCTCAGAACTCTAAGCGAGAGGTAGATAGTCAAAGTAGCATTGAATTTTCCCAAATATTTTAGCCAAAACCTGATTCACGGGCATCTTTAGTTGTGGACAGATTAAGTCAGTGGTGTTGTTTTCCAGAGCACAATGCAGACAGAAGTAATAACCAACCACAGAAAATGTTCAAGCTTTTTAAATTCCCAGAATTTAAACCACACTGCTCTATTTGGTAAACATTTCAGCTTTTAGCATTTCAGTTAGAATAAGCTAACCTGACAACACATTTACCCATAAATGTTGACTATTTTGGGTGTCAAAGAAAACCAGCTGTAATTTTTAATCCAGTGAATGGCATAAAGAAATGTGCTAACTGATCCAAGTGTTTATCAACCAAGGCTTCTTCTGGCATTTTTTAAAATTGAGAATCAAGCTTTGTTCATACTTGAATTCTCTGTTTTGCATAAGCTATATAATTTAACTTTAACCCTCAGTCCTGAAAATAAAATTAGCTCAGCCTGCAGAGCAAGGAGATGGTGAGCCATGAGAACCTTCATCAGAGCAAAGCACGGGCCTCTCGCTGCCGGCTCTTCCCTACTCCGTCCTCCCACCAGATTATTTTTGTTCTTTGTGCTTGACTTGTCGAACTGGCAGAAAACATCTGAAATGTTCATGGCAGAATGGCATCTGTCTTTCGAACATAGGTTGGTGCATGTGGGCCCGAGGAGGTCAATGAAGAGCATGTCATTTTAAAAAATATATTTATTTATTTTTATTGCAAAGTCAGATATACAAAGAAGAGGAGATACAGCAAGGAAGATCTTCTGTCCAATGATTCATTCCCCAACTGACTACAAAGGCCAGTGCTGGGCTGATCAGAAGCCAGGAGTCTCTTCCAGGTCTCCTATGCAGGTGCAGGGTCCCAAGACTTTGGGCCATCTCAACTGCCTTCCCAGGCCACAAGCAGGAACTGGATGGGAAGTGGAGTTGCCGGGATTAGAACCAGTGCCCATATGGGATCCTGGCATGTTCAAGGCTAGGATTTTAGCCACTAGGCTACCACGCCAGGCCCAAGCATGTCATCTTTAACACTCATCGATGAATGTATACCCTGGCCAGTTGTTTTTTTGTTTTGTTTTGTTTTGTTTCCACATTTTCTCTCTCTCTCTTTTTTTTCCTTCCTGTATTCATGGGAAAGGGAGATTTAAAGGGAGAAGCCCTACCCCTCTGAGGGCACTGCCGAAGTGGTTTTGATAGTTCAACAGTTCTGAATTGCTGCCAATCTCATACCCTGGCCACTTGTAATGGTGGCAGAGTGTAAGCAGTTCAGGTGTGAGCACGGTTTTTAAAAAGTACAAAACAGGATTTACTAGTTGAGATGTCTGTCTAAACAAGCTCAGGCCTCTGAGTATGTTCAACTGTGGTTCTTATTGTTTAGCCCAAGCAAGTTTGGTAACCATTCCACATTTGCTTACTGGGTGTTTTAGAGGATTAAAAATAAAGAAAAGAAAAAAGTAGAAGAAGAAGAAGCCAACATGGCCTTTACTCTGTTTTGTCAGGAAGTGGACAGAGAAGCCTGTAAGGAGGCTTGGAACCAGGAGGGCACCCGCTGGCATTCACCTCCCTTCCCTGCGAAGGGGCTGTGACGCTCCTCACTCACTGCCTAGGAGCCTGCTGTGCGTTCCTGTCCTTGCCGCTGTTCTTTATTATATCAGGCACAGGAAGCAGTAGCTTAGTTCTATGTGGCCAGAACCAATTCCATGCCATGTATACTTAATCTATGTTATAATAATCTGAGTATTTTAACCCAAATGTCTAGCTCTCAAGGATCATGAACGAGGACCATCTCAACAAACAAGGAGACGTAGAACATCCAGTGTCTGGATGTGCACTGTAACCCACTGACCCCAGCCTGAGGACCCTGCTTTGTAGATGACTGATGTTAAATTGGAGCCTTGTACCTCAAGGGCATCTCTCTACTTCTCAACCATCATGACAAAGGAAGAATTGGCCTAAGGACACTCCATTCTAATTTCCCGCTGCTGTCAGTGCTAACCATAGCTCATAGAGCAGGGATGTGGGGGTGGGGACAAGGATTCCAGCACTGGGGTTACACCAGGAGCTGGTGTCTGCTTTAAGGCTTCATTTGTTTCAGGAGTAGTTGTGTGTGAAAGATGTGCTCCCAAGAGAATAGGACGCATGGGAGTTCAGGTACAGCCCTTCATTCAGATAACCCAATTGGCAGACCCTTTCAAGTGTGCAGGGTAGAGGCGGGTTGGCTCTGTGCACATATTAAGCTAAAAACCACTTTTGTTTTGGGAAAGGAGATAGAATGAAAGCCAGAAGCAAAACATGCAATTGTGAAGCCCACTGCCTAAGTTAAGGTACTCAAATATCTTTTCTCCTTTAAGAGATTCCTGGGAAACTTGAGTGTTTTTCTAACCTGATTATTTTTAACCAATCCTTGTAGAAGACAGAGGCACTGGAGAACCAGCAACCTCAGAAAATGTCTATTCATTTTTGCACATGCTAAAATTAATTAACATTAACATCTTCAGTGATGCAATAGACAATCAAGGGTTTTTGAGAGATCAGAAAAATAAATACTGTATATTCAAAATCAGGCTCATAGTATTTTACAAAAATGTTAGCCAATGTCCAGAATCTAAAGAAGTGTGGGGTTTTTTTTGTAGTTCAAGAGATACAGTGAAAAATAATCTAATCTAATTGCTTCAAAATAAAAGATGTCGAATTTTATACGGCATAGCAAATGAAATGCTGTTCTGCTTTTCACCTGCCAGCAGGATCTGGAGAATGCTTTTCTAGCAAGCTGTGCGGTTTTCCTCTTTGGGGACATGGTGACACTGGTTTTGTAGCAAAACAGTATTTGCTTATTAGGCATTTCTTAAAAATCCTGAATAAGCAGCTCTTTCAACAGTTTTTTGTTCCACATGTTAAACATTTCATTGCCATTTCAGCTGTGTGTGTGTGTGCGTGCACATGCACACTTGCACAAGGGTTAGTAGAAAGGAATACAAAGAGCGCATAAGAATTCTTGAAGGATTTTTATTTTTAAAAATAACCCTCACAATTGTGTATGGGCATCCCTACGAAGGTGATTCCAGTTCGTTACATCTGATGACACCAAGAACCATCAATTGGGAGCAGCGGGGGAAGGGAGGCAGGGTGGCGGAAGACATGACATTGGATGCTTGAGAAGGTGAGATTTAATTCTCAGACAACATTTCACTCATGAAATGGATGGAAGCCAGTGCCAGCCCTGAGCTCCTGATGTCAGTGTCGTGGTGCCAGCATAGCTAACATAAGCTTCCAAGTAAAACAAAGAAACCCTGCGTCTCAGCACGACAGGACTGCTCTTGCAGCATGAACATCTATAATATTTGGTGTTCCTAATAATGGTTTCTTGCTTTACAATTTAGCTTTTGGGGTGTAGAGGGGAAGAAGAAAAATCACTTTGCATTTTCTGTGTGCTGAACACACACTGTATGCTGTTGCAAGTCTTAGTATTATTTAGTACAGTATCCTAAAGATAGCTTTTATCGTTTTTGACAGCTCTACAATCCAGAGGAACTCAGCATCCATTTAGTTTTCTGTACTGATTCTACTTTGCCCCTAACGGGAGGAAAATTCATCCACATTTTTCATGTGATTCTGCATGAGGCAGGCTCTGCCGTTCGGTCCTGCAGATACATTATGCAGCTTGTGGTTAAAGGTTACCGCGCCGGTACAGGCAGTGACCATGCGTTCTTCTACAAGCCTGCCGTCACCATTTAGGGTACTGAAACATGAGCTGCAAATGCTATAGGCTTCATCTGAATGATTCTTCACTTTGCAGTAGCTTAACAGTTTTGTTTGGGTTTTTGTTGTAAGAAATTCTATGAGATAGGCAGCCTGTCATGCACCCCAGAGCAGATACATACTGTATTGCAAGCTTCCTTGGAGAAGAAGACGCGGCAGTGTTCCTGGCGGCTCGTTTTCTTCCTTAGCAAGAGGATCATCTGATTCGCAGAAGCAGAAGGACACACTCATTGTGCAACGGCCCCGCTTAAGTCTATGAAATGCCTTCCACTGCCTGGGTGCAGAATTTGGAGTTTGCTAAGCAGTGTTTAGTGATTGGGCTCGGCTTGCATCACCAGTTGATGATTTTTCTTTGTTCCCTCCTACCCAGTTGAAGCACGACTCTGAGGCTGATATGCAATGTCACTTACAACATTAATCAGATACTGCATTTAAGGTGAGCTGTCCCTTGCCTCCTGCTTTTCCCTAATGCTCGTGTACTGCATGCAGTGCGTAGCTTGCTCCTGAGAGCTAAGATGGCAGGCAGGATTAGCTGTGCTGGAGCTGTGTGCGTGCTGTGTAGAGAATTCATTATACGTTGCCCAGTATTTCAGATGTGAGTATGTAAACGCTCTGTGTGCCGTATCATCTGGTGGTGCAGGCTTGTTTTTGCCTCATTACAGCCATAGATATTTCAGCATCACTTTTCATTTCTAATTCATTTGCTTCTGGATGTTTGCTTTTCATCACATTCAAAATACAATTTTACGTTTTTTTTCTAACAAAGCAAAAAAAAAAAAAAAAACCAAAAAAAACACACCCTCACCAAACCCTGAAAACAAAACTCTGTTACCAGATGGCATTTCCCCTTTCTTCTTGCATTTGCTGTCTTTTAAATAATGTATGTTGTATTGTTAATTAATGTGAATATCAAATTAAACACTTGAAACTTACATGTTTATTATGCAGGTAGGAGACAAGGTGGGATCTATTTTTAATCCTTGTGCCCTGCATCGTGGGCAAGAAACTTGGGCTCTCGAGTTTGTATTTTCAGTGCTGGTGCAAGTGGTTTGATTATTGGCAACTGTGACAGTGGCATTTGCAGTGGTCAGCTCCAAGCTTTGAACTCTCAGAGGAGGAAGGAAAAAGCATCCAACACGCCACCTCCTTGGTTGCAGCCTCAGAGAAACCTTGGATGAGAAACTTCTTTCTTCAACCCTGTTTTCCTGTTGATAAATTTGGTTCTCGTGACCGCAGTCCATTCAAGCTGTTCAGCGTATGATTTTTCCGTGAGTGTGACAATTGCATCTAAAACTTGTGAACAAGAAGACGGAGAAGTCAGTGGGTCTCCATCGCTTTACGTAGAAATGGCTGAGTGTCTGTCATGCTAACACTGCATCGAGTACCACACTCAGGTAGGTTGGCGTCTGCATGCTTTACAGAACATTGATTTAATATATGTTTATAATAAAAAGTAAACAACAGAGCTGTAATCTTTCAGGGGGAGGATATTAAATTGGGGAGCCTCTCCTATTCAGATACTATATAAATATATACAGTATTTATCAATTTAGGAAATGATTCTGCTATAAAAGTGGATGCTGTCTTTAAAAAAAAAACCCATACATATGATAGGTGTGGCGCCATTAAACAACAAAAGAATTTTTGAAAAGTGTGATGATTCAGCTCCATTTGAGCTAGAAACTAAAAATAAATGGGTTTCTGGAGATAATTTGAAAGAGCACAAACAAGCCTAATAAGAAACATTAAAAATATTTAAAATTTAAAAAGCGGTCTTTAAACGTGTTATATTAAAGATAAAAATGTATATGTTTTCAAAACCAATCTTGAGTAGTATACAAGAATAAATACACAAATTGTACATCATATAATGGGTAGGGTGAGGAGATATAATTTTAAAAGGGAGAAATATTAAATATAGATGGCCCTGGAAAAGCAAATAGAGCTTCACTAAATGAACCTGAAGCCCTGAAATGGTTCATTGCAGACCATACAACTGGAAGAACCAAATTCTGGTAGTTTTCAAAATAGTTTCATAAATCCTTGCCTCTGAGCTTCTACAATATATTTTAGTTTCAAACTAACACTGGACCAGAACCTGTTTCCTTGGTAACCAAATAGTATTTAAAAATGAAATAACAGATAAACAAAAGGATGTCTTTTCAAAGAAAACCAGTTTAGTGATTTTTTTTTTACCTCTAACATAGGATTTGAACTGGCTTTAAGTGTGTTTTGTCAGCCTTAAAAACCAAGCCCTTGTGTAACTCCATAGAAAAAGCTTGCATGATGACAGTTTCTCCCCTTCTCTCTCCTTTGTGCTCCATACTTTCCAAATCAAGGTTTCCTTTGTAATGGGTTCCAGAATGCAGGTCAAGGTTTGTGTACAGAGGTGTCGTTTCATTATCACGAGTTCACCAGCTGAAATACAAAAATTTCAGCAATTCTGAGAATCAGACAACGCTGATGCTCTGGTTTGCCCTGAGCTCTGTTGGTAACCTTGGGGCTCTCCAAGCCTATTTCTCCAGAGAGAAGGAGCCTTGCTGGAACAGAATGGTAGCTGTGCTAGGAGGCTCCCCAAGGTTTGCTCCCACATAAAGAACATGGACAGTCAGAACCACTGTGACGGGAGCTGCTTTCTTCTAGAGCTTTGGCTAAGACTCCCAAGCCCTATCTGTAAAATTAGATCTCTTAAGGGCTAAAGAGGTGCTGTTGTTGTTTTGTACTGTTATTGTGGTGGTTGTTATTCTGAGGCCAGCTAATATATTCTGCTTGAAGTCTTGCTCCCTAGCGCAGTGATATCAGAACACAGTTCATCTCACAGTGACTCCGTGCTCTGGGCTTGCCATGAAATGTCCTTCCTACAACACCTCTGTTGCGGGGGAAGGGTGATGTTCGGCAGCCATTTTCCTTCTTGCCTGTGACTTAAAATGACGGAGTACATTCTGAATCTAGTATCAGTCAGCAGACTGTAAGCTGAAGGGAAACATGAGAACCCTGGCTCAATGATACCTGTTTATTTAGTGTCGGCAGCATTAACAGTATCAGTAGTCAAGCTGATTGTCAGTTATGCTTGAGAAAATAGTGAACTAGCATCTGTAATTAAACACCACTGCTGATCACAAAGATAGCAACTATAGTATCTTCTTTTTGATAGGCTAAAACAAATCAATCATTTTGAATGCATCAGAATCCTAGTTACCAGATTAAATGGATCCAATGCAGTTGTTTATCACAAAAGTGAATGCCTGATAAATGCAATAGTGTATTTCTTCTTCATAAATCGTCGATCATGTTGTTTCTAACTCAAACACAGTTGCGTCATCTTGTATGTTTTCAAGCCTAATGATTTTTTTATGGCATTATTCATTTATGTTACTCTTGATCTTGCCTAAAAGAATTTTAAACACAATTCATGGAGCTAGGAAGCCAGATAAGACTGTTGGCAATTATATTGTACCATTGCCATTCTAATAAATAGACTAGTGAATGGAAGAATGATTATTATTTATCACTTTGTTGTGTTTCACCTTAATAATTTTTTTCTTTTTTTAAAATTTATTTATTTTATAAATTGCATTGCATTATGTGACACAGTGTTATGGGCACTGGGATTCCCCCCACTCCTCCCCGAACCCTCTCCCCATGGTGGATTTCTCCACCTTGCTGTGTTACGTTTCACCTTAATATTTTGCCTTCATATTTCACAGCATGTTTACAAGGCACAAAGCTTTTCTAAACTTACCCACTTACAATTATTACTGGGTTCCCTGGATTAGTGAAAAGTCTTTCCTGCCAATTCCAGAGGATGGCACTTACCCTTGTCTTTGTTGAAAACACTATGCTTAACCCATTTATACTTTTTGGCTGAGGTGTTTACACGGGACAGGCCAGAACAGGTGTGAAAGGAAGAATGTGCAAACAACTGCTTTGTTCTCACCAAAACGAAACGGGCAAATGCGTGGTTTTCTGCCTGAATGATTTACAGTATAAAATTCTTAGCTCTTCTTTCTTTATAGAATGGGAAATATTTTTCTAAACCTTAACTCAAGTGGGAATACTAAGACTACATTTCTTGCTACCTTAGCTCTGTATGTGGATTGCTGTGGGTGGGCTGGTAGCCAGCTGGAGACTTAGAGCTTGTCAATGAGAAGGAGCTGGGAAAAGATCTAGCATCTTTCTCTTTAGTACTCAGTCTTATTAAGCCTTTGAATTCTTGGTTTTATTGTACTTCATTCTAACAGCTCCCTCCCAAGGGAAATGCTCTTATCTTTTAAAGATTTGTTTATTTATTTGAAAGGTAAAGTGGCAGAGAGAGAGGGGAAAATACAGAGAGAAGGAGAGAGAGAGAGAATCTTCCATCCACTGGTTCATTCCCCAGATATTTGCAAAAGCCAGGAGCTTCATCTGGATCTGTCACAGGCGTTAAAACACTTGGATCATTTTTCATTGCTTTCCAAGGCCCATTAGAAGGGGAGCTGGATCACAAATGGAATAGCCGGGGCTTGAATTGGCAGCTTTGCAGATGGTGGCCTAACTCACTACACCACAGCACCAGCCCCGGATAAGTGCTTCTTATAAGCTGTCTTGACATACACGTTAATGAAGTACTTACTACACTTACAGACACTAAAAGTAGAGTGATGAATAACACAGAGCAGAGCTGCCTCTCTTCGACAGGGTGTGAGGCAGGGCAAGTAGGCAGAAATAAACATGTCAGCAAATCACTAAAGATGCCAGTGCCAAGGAACAAAATAAAATGAAATAAAAATCAGCCAAGCCGGGGTGATGCATCTTGGAGAAGAAAGCCACTTGAGAATAGTCAGGGGAAACGTGGTAAGAAGGGTCCAGCCAGGTGAGGATCTAACGGGGCAGGATCACTGGCCAGAGGAGTACATGTGCTCCAACTGCAAACTCACCTTTCTTTGTGTGACAGTCACTTTCTCAGAGCCATCACTCCTGCTGACTTCACAGTCCAGCCTTGTCTAGGTGAGCCCCCCCGCTGCAGTGAGAGGGCAGTTCAGGCATGGAGTTCCGTGTGCTGCAGCTGTCTTTGCCTTTGGCTCAGTCACTACCCTGAAGCTGTCTGGGAAGGTACAGTGACCCTTGGGCCATCACGGTGCCAGGTCCTGTGAAATTCTGACAGACTCAGGACCACCTTGAGAAAGACCTCTCTGCTTGGGGCAAAGAAATTTCTGGAAAGCCTCTTACTTTGTCTTGTACTGTAACTCAGAAATTTACACTCATGGTAGATAGCCATGCAATTGTTTTCAAGGGCAAAACAGAAGAGAGGCTTAATGATAGAGGGCCTGTGTCCCAAGGTGCTGCCCAGCACTGTCAGAGCCTTTTAGGTTTTAACAGAACCCTTCCACTCTACAGACCTCTGCTGCCGTTCGTATTTCTCTAAAGACCTTATTGATGACAGTGATTGCATTCTTCTGTTTAAGCAGAAAGTACTAAGAAAATTCACCATACAAGCCGAAATTACTGTGTGCTTTTTCAGGTTAGTCTTACTGATGAAGCCAGAGAACAAAGGGTTGGGCTGACTATACAAGGTAAAAAGCATAAGACTCACACCTTCTAAACATTCCACAAGTCCCTGAACTTGAGTCCTAACCTGGCAACTTCTGCTTAGCACAGAAGTGGCCTGGCCCATGGCTGTCTCCTTCACCTCTCGCAGGCTTTGAGGAACCCTGAAGCCTTTTCCTGCATGGACAGAGACTCCATCTTGTTCTTTGTAAGGTGGTATTACATCTGTAGTGAAGGAAGCTTTAATGCTTCAGCATTTGCTAGGGACCAGGCCCTGTGGGAGCCAGGCAGAGTACAGCGCAGTGTGGTTCCTGTCCGATTCTGTGCAGGTTCCCACCCAGGACTAGAGCAAGGCACAACTGAGGCAGAAAGAAACAACTGGCAGGCTTCTCTCTTGGTGGCCTCTGATCCACTTGCCCAGGGCCAGCCTTCAGTCTTGGGACATCTCAGCCATGGAAAGCACAGTTTTCATTTGGACTCTGTATCTTGGTTTCGCCACCCTCCCAAGATGTCTTGGCTCCTAATGAGCCGCTGTATGTCTGCCTGCCTTGCCAGGTGACCTTGCAAACAGCTGATGCTCTTGGATTCATGAGCACATGTTAAGTTGAAAAGCCCTTGAATGCAAACATTTGAATTTGTGGTGCAGGCAAGACACTGCTTCTACATTGTCACCTTCCCCAGCTGATGGGGGGTGGGTCGGGAGTCGAGGGTCTCTAAGGTGGATGGCTGCAGTGTCTGGGCAGCAGGTAAATCAGAGCCCAGTTGCCAAATCAATCAGTTTTGCTAGGTGATCCCAACATGCCACCATCAGGGCATAAACATCTCATTGACCTGAAAATCGCTCTTTTGATCTTGTAGCTGATTTTAC